AATTTTTATGAAAGCCCTTTCAGTTCTAATAACCTTGCGAGTAATAAGTTGCGAATATTCTATCAATTTATGGGTACTAAAAAAGTACCCCACTGTATAAATTTAGACATTTAATATAACAGCCAATCGCCTATTAATTAATCATTCAATTTCTCAACTTTTTTGAAAACCTAAGCGAAGCTAGGCAGTATGCCTAGTATATATATATATATATATATATACATAATCGGCCGGAACTTTATTAGCTTACTAAAAGTAAACTGGGATTTGTGACGGTGAATTATTTGATAAGATCAATCTTGTAATGTGGGTCATTGTCCGATTTACTAGATAGATCCAATTTAAATTTGAATGAAGTTTGTTTGTTGTGTACTACTTAGTTGAGTTTTAGTCGCTGGGAAAGATTTATACGATATTTAAATTTAGGTTTGGATTTATATTTAAGATCCAATGCCAGATTTGATGTAAGATTTGTGTTGCAGTTTAGGTTTAGGTTTAGATTCACGTATAGCGTTGGGTTTAGGTGTAAAGTTTGTGTTACTTTATAATAATTGGTTGCAGGGGTAGTTTAGTTAATGGTTAAGTGTAATGTATGGTTACGATTATATCTATCTATATACTACTAAAACTCAAGTTTGTTTACATGTTTGAATAATTATTTGTTTGTCTTTTTGTTTTGTTTTTTGTCCGATTGAATACTAGAGAAAATCGGCGCTAGGCGGAGAGCTGTAAAATAGTATGTAGGTAGAAAAAATATTTTGTTTTCAGACAGACTGTTAATCACACATTTATTTAAAGATGATAATTAATTAATTGATTTATTCAATTTAATTTTAAAGTTTTAGAACAATGGCTTAACTTTGACTGAATAGTGACGTTTGATAACTCATTTTTTTTTGTTTGTTTGTATGTTTAATTTGTTGTTGGGGAGAATCTGCATTATGTGTAGAGCTGTAAAATAGGATTTTGGGTGATAAATATTGTTCTTTCTTAAACACACTGTTAATTACAAACTAATATAAAGCCGTTAATTAATGTATTGATATATTCATTGATAGATTAGTCACATTAATTAAAAAAGCTTAGAACAATGACTTTAGTAATAGTAAAACGATTTTTTTTCTTTTCACAACGATGTTTACAATTATTTTTTCTTAAGGCCTATATGTGAATGATAAGATTGACTATCAGGACCTCGCAGGGCACAGGGCAGGTGAAGTAGAGTTCACCTGTTTCTATGTTTTCAGCATATGAAGGGATAGTGTGGTCAGAGCCATGCTAGGCCGGAATCGTTTTTTTTTAAATACAAACATGTCTGAGACATGGCGGGGCACTGGGCAGGTGAAGTAGAGTTTATTAGAGTTTTTAAAATATAAAAATCGTCTATATGAATAAGGGGTCAGGTTATTTTGAGATGATAAGTGCTGACAGACATGATGTCATTTATGGATGACCCACCGAAACCCACAGTTATCTAACTAGATAACGGGTAGTCTAGTATTAGCAAGAAATTTATTTTAAGTGTAGGACTAAGCTAAAAATAAATTGTTTATGTTTATAATTATACTTTGTTTTGATCATTTATTTATTGTTGTATATAGTTAGGATTTCGATC